AGGCAAATATTAGCATCCTGAGTAGGGAAGAGGGAAAATTTAAGCAGCCATTGACAGAACACTAAGGTAAAGTTTTGCAGATACTGCCAAATTTATTTTCTCCTAGGACATGAGGTTGTGAATGGACAACCTCAGGGAAGCCAAATGCCACATCCTTGGGTGGAGACTTATACTACATGCAAACACTGCTGATCTACAGGAAACAATGTTCTAGGAGTATCACTCTACGCTGCTGTACTGGTGTGAGTGTTACAGTGAGCACTGGAGAAAAAAAAAAAAAAAGAAGCTGTCATGGCTAAATCAAAACTCACAGTTTTATTTAAAAAACAGAATCAAATCTTTAGGTCAAAAGTAGATATTTGGGGCAGTCATAGGGACCCTTCATAGTCACGCTGTACGCTTCATGGCTTCAGGCGTACAGCAAGGTGTTTTGTTACCATATTTTGTAACTGCATTTCTTCACTGGATTTATGATGGCACACCCTGAAATCACAGCAGACTTTCTTATCTATATCTCTGAACGTGCCTTGCTGAAAGTATTCTTTTTCTGCGCACCTACCAAAATTAAAATGTAAGCCAGGATCACATCAGAGGCAACCAAACCCTTTAATGAACCTGGTGCTGTTAAAGGCTGGTTAACCTCAGCAGCATGTCCAGGGTCAGACAAACATGTAAAAATAGAATGAGCTGCATGACAGGAGAGTTACATGTGTACAAGCCACAAGTGATCACAGGTAATTTGTGTTCTGTAGAAATAAGCCAAGAGAATGAAAAAGAGTGGAACAGTACAGGCCTAGGGAACTGCAGTACGGAATTGAGGAGCTACCAAAACCCAGCAAAACCCGGGTTTTGGACTTTGGCAGCAGCCAACCACAGACTCTCAGAGCTCATTTTAATATGCAACTCATATCCTGCCTGTACCAGCAGCTGGACAAGCAATCCTGGCTTTAAAGGACATGTAAGGTCAGAGCAAAAAAAAATCATTTTGAAGTATTTAAGCTAAAATGTAAGTTCTGCTTTGTATTTCAAACATACAGTGAATTTTCTGAAAGGCTTGGTTTTGTGTTCAGAGGAATACTTCCTTGCATGTTAATAGTTTTTACTAGACACGGGAAATTTGAGTTCCAAAGGCGACATTTTCGGTACACTTTGAACATATGGAAAACAAGGTTATAATGGAACTTCCCTGTAGCTTAATCATACCCTGTAGTTCTTTGAATATTCTGAATGTAGACACACATGCACTCAAGTTAATAAGCCAAGACTATTAATCTTCCTGTTAACCAGATGAACTGATTAATGAAGTAATATATTTTGCAGTACAATATGCATTAGTGCAAGCAAGTGACAGAGAAGGACAGCACTCAGCACTTGAGTAGAGGAAGTAGAAAAAGTCAGAGGAAGATGTGACTGCCAGCAGCAGGAGGTCAGCCTAGGCCAAAGACAGCTCTGACTGGGATGAGCAAAGGCAAGCTTTGTCAGAAGAGTCATACTGATTGCTAAGACAAAACCAAAGCACCTCTTACTTTATTCTCCCAGCCCACACCCCCATCATGTCTATCATTAGACTTTCCTCCCTTCCTTCTGCTTCTTACTGATCCAAAGAAAGGAAAATATGTTTGAAGTAGGAGAAGCTGAAGCAGGTGGACGGTGTGTAAAGGGCATGGGGAAAGCTCTATCAGTCTTTACAGTGTGTGAAGGAAAGTCACACATGAACCTCTCCAAAGAAGGTGGCAAAATTTATAGGTTTATGCAGCCTATAAGTACAAATACTACTTTTTTTTTTTTCCAGTAAAAGATGTATTTTAGATAAATGCATATATTCATGCTCTCTGCATAGAAGTGGACACATAGGCTGGTAGATTAGAGGAAAGAAACACCATCAAGCAGTGCTTTCCAGTTACAAACTTATGTGGTATTTTCTTCTGCACCAGTGAAAGGGGTTTCTTTTTCCCCTGACAGTTTCCCCTGATGGAAAATATTCCCTCCCTAAACCACATCCTCTAATGTTTTCTGTGAAGTTTTGACAGATAAAGTTTTCCGGGAAAACACGGGCTTCTTTGTTTCTGGTATGCATTGTGCCTACAGCTTCCATGGTCTCAGTTCAGCAATAGGTTTTATTTAAGTCTTATTTTCATTACTACTACACTTTTAAAGCTGAGGTGTGATAGTAGAACGGACAACATTGGAATTCAGGTTCCACCTGCACAGCTGAGGTGTGGTAGTAGAATGGACAACATTGGAATTCAGGTTCCATCTTCACAACCACAGTGCATCCTAACATCCCTTCCTGAAGGCAGGGTGAAGACTAAAGCCAGATGACACTAACGGGACACAGCATCATCCCTAAACTGGCAGAGTGCACATGGAGAGCTTTATCCTACCTAAAATGCAGTCCAGGGTGGTCCCAAACCCATCCCCAGCAGACACCCTGGCACCCAGGACAGGGTCCTGCCCCCATGGCAAAAATCAGAGGGGTGGCCACCCTCTTTTAGCCTAGGGGAGCCACGACCAGCAACGGCTGTGGAAAAAGCCTCATGGCAGCTGATACAGCCACCTCCTGTCACCCCACACCTGCCACTCCACAGCAGGCAGGAGGAGGTGTTATGGACAGAGAGAAGGTTATCATTATGGGTCAATACATGGCACCAGTGGGCTCCTCTTCTTCCCCCACCAGGAGCACTTGCTTGGCATCTTTTTGTTTTTGGTTTTATTTTTATTTTTCCTTTTTTTTCTTTTTATTTTTTCCTTTTCCTTCCTTTCTTTCTGTTCCTTCTTTCCTTCCTTCCTTCCTTCCTTCCTTCCTTCCTTCCTTCTTTTCTTTTTTTTTTCCCCGTTTATTTTAGTTTTATTGTGTTTCCTACACTGCGGGAGGGAGCTCTAGCCAAAAATAATGTTGCCAAGCCGAGAGGATTGGCACATGCTGCCTGGAGTCTGCAGCAACAGCAGAGGCTTTAAATAGACAGAGCCCTGGCTACAAGCTGCTCCCGGAGGGCTGTCAGCTTTGGCCCAGTGAGGGGATCACTGGCTGAGGGTGCAGAATGATCTGCATCTCCCTGACTCCATGCCCACACCTATGGAGTGTCTTGGTTCCATCTGTCTGCAGCTCTCTTCTGCCCCTCTCTGCTCCCTGCTCCTGGCAATGCAGTCTATCCTCTGGAAATAACTCTGCAGTTACTAGAAATCTGTCATCAATAAAGCTGTGGTGGCCTGGTGGCAGCACATGTGCATGGAGGGGGAAGCTCCCACTCCAAGTGTTACATGTCTGAAACGCCAAGTGTGCCTAGAGTTAGCCCAGGGAGTGGGAATGGCTCCATGGCTCCACTGCCATGAGCACTACACAGTGCTCTTACTTCATCGGACATTGATCACTGGTGAATTTTCCAAAATAAATTAGATAAATGATTTCGCTCTCCTCACCCATTCCCTACCCAAACATGGACAATTGTTGCCACGCCTAAGCAAACAAGAACCTCAAAGCATAGCAAGCCAACTCAACTCATCGTTGGGTGACAGTGGCATGGGGCAGAGCAATGAGGAGGGGCTTCTAGCCCCCCATTTTGTACAGTAAAGCTATCTCCTGCAACCGTGTAAGATGTAGGAAGGCCCCCAATACAGCTCCTCTGAAGACTGCAGTCTGCAGATCTCTTCAGGGGGTGTCTCCCTCTGCATAGTGTTTGGGGTGCAAAGCAAGCACTAACTCCTGCAAAGCTTCGGAGCTGAGCTGCTGTTTATTTGTGCCTGCTGATTAACTCCTTTTGCTTCCTTCTGCCTCCAGCCCCTATTTCCTCAGCACCCTTTATTTCTGTCCTACAGCAGCCGCCGGGCACTTCGTTGTCCAGCCGGGAGGGGCAGAGGCAGCCAGTAGAGCAGGAAGAGGAGCCTGGACAGTAACAGAAGCAGAGGCAGGGAAAAGGGCAAGGCCAAGGGGGAACCGTCCGGTCCTATCCCGTCCCAGGGGGCAGACGCAGGCTCAGCCGACGGGCGCTCCAGGCAGCATCTTTCCACACTGTTTTGCGGCCTTTCACTGCTTCCACTTGGCACCCTCACTGCAGAGCAGTTTGGCTCTAACCTCCTAGGGCTTTCAGAAGCTGCCTGCACACTGAAAGTCGCTTTCTCCACTTGCTAGTTTTGTTTCCGAACTGCAGATCAGCTTCCCTCCCTACAAAACCAATCCCTCAAATAGACGACCTCTATAACCGGGTCGGCTTCTCCCTGTTTCACTCTGTGTATCACATTTCCTTGACTCTTCTGTTGCTGCTGTTTTTATTATGACTGCAGTACAACCGGGTATTGCTTGGTCCTAAGAAAGAGCAACGCTTTCAGTCCAATACCAACTGCTTATGTAGGATGAAAAAGAAAGTAGTTAACGTAAATACATACTTAGGATACAGGAGACATATGTTGGCCATTTGCCCTCCGACATGTCCGCGTTGCTTTTACGGTGTCCCGAAGGAAACTCCTTCATGACAGTGACACAGAACAGGTAGAGATGCCACTACCCCTCCTTTCGAGAGAGAGAGAACTGCTGCTTTTTCTCTCCCTTCCCGGTGGGCACACAAACCACGGAGAGAACAAGGAAACGTTCAGCATCTTAGGTTTCACCAAACCATACCAAACAAAAGAACTCACTCTACTAACGGCTTCAGCCGCGTTAGGGAAGTTTCCATTTGCAATAGCAGCTGCGAAGTTGGCTGATCCATCGACTGTATTTACCTTTTTTTTTTTTTTCCTTTTTCGCTAAAAAATCAGATATTTAACCCCGAAATGCTTAATTCGGGCTGATCTCGAGTGCTCCCAATCTTCTCCCTCTGCACTGCCCCAGAAAACAGCCCAGCCCAGGAAAGGAACGGGCTCGGTCAGTCACCGCGGAGACAGAGCGGAGCCGGAGCGGAGGCAGCCTTTGTCTCTGCAGGCTGCCGTTCTCCTTCCTCCCTCCCTCCTAAACTTTTGGGCGCTCTCTCAGAACTGTATTTATAGACAGAGGAGGCCAGAGCTGTATTTTTTTCTTTGTGCCTCCTTTGGCTTGGGCTTAGAGCACTGGCAGGGAAAGTAAAAAGGAGGCAGGCAGACAAACGGGAGGACAGAAGGGGAAAGAGCTGAAGTCCCGCAGGCGGGACCTGGAGGGAGGCTGGGGCGGGTGGCGGCAGTGAGGGGCTTCCCCTGCTCCTGGCGGATAACAGAGGTAACGGGGAAGGTCCGGCCCCGGCTCGCTGGGAAGGGAGGGGAAAGCCTCTCGCCTTCGGGGAAGGGAGAGGCCGCCACGGCCGCCCTATGTTGAGGGCCGGGGGGTGGGCTCGAAGGGACTACAGGGAGAGAGAGCTCGTGTCTGTGCCTGGGGTGGAGGGGTTGAGAGAGCGACTCGGTGGTCGCAAGAGTCTGTGCTGTAAGACCAGGTTACAGGGGGGCAGGGGCTGTCCTTGCCCCCGACGGGAAGGCTGTTCCAGGGCCGGCGGACAGCCGGGGAGGGCCGCGGTCAGCGACGCTGGGCGGGGATGCTCGAGGGCTGTAGCAGTAGCTGCGGGGCCCGGGGCGGCGGGGGGAGCCCGCGGCTCTCCCCGGCTCTTCGCGGCTCCGCACAAAGAGCTGTTGGGGCACCGCTCCGCCGGGTGTTTTTTTCTAGGACGTTTCCATTGTACTTCAAACAGTCAAACCCAAAACAATCCCTACGCTGCTCACGGGAATAGAGAATTAACAGCTATCTGGAAAAGTGTTTATTGGGAAAGGGGTAAGATTTCCCTGACTGCAGAAAAAGCGATCGGAGAATTAAGAATGCGGGAGTTCGGGGTTTTGCTATTGTTGTTTTGCTTTTTGTTTTTATTTTCCCCTATGGTCTGCAATTAAACAAGCTCTCTTTTCCCGCAGCGTGAATGGTGAAAGTCTCTAAACAAACATCTCAATAACCCGCGTGCTGTAATTGTCATGTTGTTAAGCATTTCCTCACTGACATACTCCACATTTAGCCTCTAATCTCCAAAGTGGATGTCAAAGCAGTTTCCGACATCTTTAGAGAGCTTGTCCTGCAGGTAAGCAAAAATGTGAAACTGGAGAAAGAGCTTGCTTTTGGGCTGACTTTCAGGTCTGGCTTCGAGTGGCAGAAAGGCTGGAGTAGCAGGATTTACACTTGGCTTGTTGCAGTCTGGTTTCTGATGTGCCACGAGGAAGGTATAAAATTAGGTTAAAGCTCCAAACCACCCATCAAACCCCGTTCAGAGCCTCGGCTCTGGTCTCGGGTGTGTTTAAATCACTGACACTTCAGAACAAAACCCTTTCACCCTTCACCTCTCCGGTGGGGATTTTTCTGTTTGATTACTTCAATAATTTAATTTCTATTTGCCCTTCCAAGTGGGCAAATCAACGTCCTTCGAACACGGGTGGGGGCTGTTATTTTTAGCTCGTTAGCTGGAACAAAATGTTCCAACACTCTCTGCTTTGAATCTGATTGCGGTTTGACTACTCTTTGATATTTAAGAACGTCGGTTTCCTTGTCAAAGTACCTGCTATAGGAAATGGCTCCCTTAGCTTGGCAAATCACTCTCAACAAAGTAGACAAGCGCATTCGCCTAAGTAAAGAAACGTTTCTAAAATATTGCCGGGAAATACCCGAAAATATTAAACTGGTAAATCTACTGTAGGTGCTACCCTTATGATGACCTTAACAGTGTGCCCAGCTATCAAAATAAGTAAGAAATTATAAAAATATTGCATGCCTTCCTGTCCTTTCGATAAATACATTTTGTCGGCACTTGCTGAGCAGTTTTGGGGAGTCCCATATGCACTTCATAAACAGCACTAAAAATGCGGGTTCCATTCAAATATTATTATAATAGCCCTGCTGCCCCTGACCTGCTACAGTTCTGCGTCTACTGTTTCTGTAACAGTACTTTAAAGTATGTTTAAATGTTGTTGCCGTCCCCTCCGCCACGTTGTCCTGGAGCTTTCAGCTGACACTACTGCTGTGTCCATTTAAAAAACGTGACTCCGTGTTTAGCTGCGAGCTGTCCAACATAAACACAAATAGCACTATGAAGGAACACAACAAAGTAGGTGTGAAGGGAAAGGGAGAAATCCACTTTTGCCAAGTGGTGCCTCAAAGAGTGCATGACGTTAATTCAGACTTCAAAAAGCTAGCACCCGTGAGATTCTAATGCCATACACATTTATAAATACGAATAGGTACAATCTGAGGTGCGGAAATGGTAACAGAAGTTTCAGACTTCATGGCTGTAGATTTGGAAAGTTCTCGTACCACTGGCGCCCGGACACCTACACATATTAGCAAAAACACTGCATTGAATTAAGCGCTTGATCACTGAGATCTTCTTCACAGGGTTTTCTGTTACCGCCAAGAGCGTCGTCATATGCGATGCCCTTCGTGGCCAGGGGCCAGAGACTTAAATGAAGTCAAGTGAGTAAAGTAAGTGCAAGCTAGTCTCCTCTGCACTGGGGAGTTGAAATGCGTGTACGGAGAGTGTCTAGAAAAGATGAAAATCCGAGGTTCGTAGCTCCAAATCATTACATCCTCAACAACAGAACATGATCATTACCCACGAGAGAAAGGGACAAAATTCTCCTCCTATACTGATTATTGTTATGGCAGGAAGCAATAACTCCTTTGTTATGAAAATAGTGTTTGTTATGAAACAAACAGAGTGAGCAGCCATCTAGATAAACATTCCCTCTAACAAGGCTACCGTCTCTGTGATGTTTTATGTGGTTTGCTAACCCCCTGTCGTTTTTAATCATTATTGTATTTTGTTTCTTTTTTTTCTTTCTTTGTAACTATGCGCATTGTTTCCCACTTACGCTAATTGCAGCAGTAACGGTCCGAAATTTCATGGAGAAATAAACTGTTCGGTTGGCATTATTTTCGCCTGTGGGTTTGGGGTTTGGGGTTTCCCCCCCCCCCCCCCCTTTTATGTGCTCATCGATAAATTCAATACCAATTTTTTTCCTATGCATTTCCTATGATTGTATCGATGCCACTCGAACATTGGCACCTCTAATCCCTCTATATTTGCAATGTACCTGAGTTGCCTTTTTCTGGTTCTTGGTAGATAGCGATAAACTTTCTTAGACAAGCAGGGAAAACCTACAAAACCGAAGAGCAATACTTGTTCCTCAAGTTAGGCGCTTTTTCTATGCCTGGCCCTTTCTCTCCCGCTACAGGGTCCCGGCGGGACGGTGCTTTTGAAATGAGCGGGCTGCGCGGGTGTGCGGGGCGGACTTGGAGGGCCCGGGTGCCTCCACGGAGGCTGAGAGAGCAGGGGCTGCGGCTCCCGCTGCCTCCCTGCTTCGCGTCGTCGGCTCCACCACCGTGCGCGAACCGCGGGCGGCGGCGCTTCGCCACAAGATCAGTCAAAACGCAGGCGGCCGGCAGCAGAGCATTCCTGGCACATGCGTTCCAGGCCTCAGACAGTAATAAAGCCTCCGTAAAGAGGGTAAATATGAAGTCAGGATGCCGCAAACACAGCGCAGGCAGCAGCTCAGCTCGGAAGGACCGGGCGACTTGCGGCTTTTGTTTGCCATGGGTGCTCTCAGAAAGCTTCACTTGTGTTGCCGGACCAGGAGTAGCGGGAGGCGGCCGCGCTTTACCAAGGCGAGATTCCCGTGTCCCCTCGCACATCTGTCCCCTTGTAGAGCACGGGGAATCCTACCCCAGATCCCCACACGGCTAGGTGGGCGGTATTTCTGCGCTTGCTGTGGCCGACCCGCACCTTTCAGGGCCGTATCTGCTGCCGCCCGCCTGCCCCCCGGCGCCACGAGCACACCAGGTCGGAGCCTGGCGCAGCATCCTCTGCCCTCCACCGACATCTCCATGGCTTTGACTTAGTTATTGCCAAACGCAGGCAGATTTGAACACCCCGCTGACGGCTGCCCTGGGGTTCCGCAAGGCAGTCCTCCTCACCCCCACCCCAAAACCCAGCAGCCGCCTTCGTCGCCCTTCGCACGGTTGTGACCGCCGGCCCGGGCTCGGCAAGGGCTGTTTTTAGATCTCCGGAGGCTTTTACCTCCTTCAGGGAAAAGTGCCTCAGTTGGGCCAGAGGCCCCGTCTCCAGCTACAGCCGCGCCTAGGCGCCTGAGGCCAGGGCGCGGCACATGCGCGGCCGCGCAAAGCAGAGCGGCACCCGCGCGCCCCCTGACGCCGCTCGCGGTAGGAGTTGGGCTCGGCCCCGGTCGTGGAGCTGCGCTCCCCGCCAGCCTGCCCTCGCTCTGCGGCCCCGGGCCCAGCTTACCCCGAATCCCCCGGCCGCAGCACCTGCGCAGGGGAGCTGAGCAGTGGCTCTGCAGGGGACATGTCTCGGGTCCGCTCCTCAGAATTCCCGTGCCCACCCTCGCTTCCCCCTGGGGCGAGGAGACCCTCTCTGTCACTGGAGGAGGACTGAAGCACCCCTCTGGACCCCAGCCTCCTCCACAAGTGGGTCAATGGTGACAACCAGGTGGCCCTCTCCCACTGTCACCATCTCCATGTGCTGACCTTCATATGCCTGACCCTGGCCCTAGATACTCATCCTCTGCCCAAGATCTTCCTTCCACAGATTATATTGCCTTCTCATTATAGTACATGAGGGAAGGCATGAAAAAGTGGCTTCATCTACTTCACACAACCTCCCTTGGAGGTGAAGGGGCCTTAGCTTCATGTTGTGAATGCATTAGCTTCATGTTGTGCAAGGGCAGAAAAGGCAAAATGTACCAACTAAGCTCATGTGCCCTGTTTGAAAGTACTGCACAATAATGTTTACAGACACAAATTTGTAGTAAGGCTCTAGAATTCACCTTAGTTCTTAATTTACTGAGGTGCAGTGAGTACTTAAAACTGTTCACTGGTATCGCTGCATGCTTCTTCTTCATTAAGCAATCTGAAAAATAACATTCTATGGAATCATCCTGGCAGGATTACCAGCGAGCTTGATGCCTGCAGAGATGCCTGTGCACAGCTTTTCCACAGAGCAGTCAGTTTCCTGCTGTCTAAGCTTTGCGACATGTGCTGCCGAAAGCCATCTCATCATGAAGAGGTACCATTGTCTGCTGACGACTTTTTGCCCCTCTAAAACTTTTTTATCCCACTTCTTAACCAGTTTAAATCTAACATAAATCTTCTGTTTATAAGTAATCTCTTACTATCCACCTCAGCCATGCAACCAAATCTTCAAAGGCAGCCAGGTTGCCAGTGTCATCCCATTTGATGAAACAGAGAAGCGAACACCAGGATGCCATTACCTCCACAATGGGCAGAGTGTGCAGCTCCTGACCTCTGCTTTGCTTTAGGCTTTGAGGTTGGCAGAACTGCACAACTGACTGGAATACAGAGCATCAGCTCCTACCTTAGTCATGAAAGGAAATAGAGCTCTTCGGTTGCTATAGAATAGCAGAAATTTAGACTGAAGCTTAAACAAAGTCTTTGTTGGATGTATGTATGAGCAAAATAGACATCTTCAAGAATAAGAGAAAATAAGACCTAACAGGGAATGATGAAGCACCTAGATTTATTCTGTCTTGAAAGGAAGGTTGAGGAGAGCCACGGTAGAGTTCAAGCACAGGTCTAACAGTGATGGGGAGAGCAGATTTTTCCAGTATGTCCATCCCTACCATTTCCAGACAGGGGAGCTGTCTGAGAATTTGTCTTGCACCTCAGGGAACTGAAGCACATATGACATGTTTGGAAATGACAGGTGGGGCAAAGGTGACTTTTAGGATGACTGCTGTTAGAGAAGCCAAATTAGGTTTTGGTGTAATTTATCAGATCTGGAGGCAAGCCCATGTTATAGTAGTCTTCCTCGTGCTATTTTAGGTCACAATATGCCGTACACTTTTTATGTCAATTTCCTTCCCTGTGTGGTACATGCGTATAGAAGGGTGCCTCTTGTCCACTGGCAGCTGTTGAATACTCAAGAAGCAATATCAAGTGTGAATTAAGATCTCTCTTAAAGCCTCCAACAAGCCCAGGCACCACACAGGCTGTCACCTCTTCACAAAGACAAACTCTTCAGAGTAGAGCATAGCAGCAGGGAGCACCATGAGAGCAGGAAGGCTTTGAAAGGGTTACTCAAGTCCTGGTCCTATGCATAAGGCTCCACCCAGTCTGGTAATGGGGGGATGTTCACTGCATATTTCTGAGCTTAACTCACAGTATCTTAACATTACCCCTGGGATGAAATATACCCTCTTTTATGAGCTCAGGAGTGGTAAAATAAGAACTTTGGTGAAGTATGCAGAGGTCATCTTAATTCACGAAAATGAAACGGGTTCCCTCCAAGAATGATTTACTGTGTTTTGTTACTATATATTTGGACTGCCATTATTTTCTATACTTAATCTTTTATGAGGCTTTTATGATTTTGTTAAATGGGAGCTCATCTATAGGGAATGTTCTTCTGCTCCCTTCCCTGGTCAAGACCCTAATACTCAAAGTCAATTTTCATTTTTATTTTCTACTTTGCAGTCCACCTCTCAGAAAGCTTTTAGATTCTGAAGGAAAAGAACCTTTTCTGCAATGGTAAACTAGGGATCAAAAGAAAGGAAAACAGCAATGTAGCTTTCTTGAATGCTTAGGGGACTCCTTGTGAAGCCTATTTAGAGAAAACCACATGGCAATCCTGAGGAGCATACCTGGCACTATATCCTCACCTAGTTTGGGGGTTATCAGTTTCATTTCTTTAGAGCCTCTTCATATCCACACCCAAGGACACTGATTTATGTGTAAAATGACGTGACAGTGTAGCCTTCAAGACTATCTATCTTTGAACATTGAATCAGGTTTACTATCTCACTGTCCTTGCAGTGGAACAGAATGTGAGGCTACCTGCATTCTTTCTAAAGGCCTGATCTGCTGCTGCCAATAAACAAATCCTTCATGCCTGAAAGGAATAGATGCAGAATTCATGGGGAGTTCAGGGTGAAGATCTGCATCACACCTTGATAAAAATACACTAGTTGTATAATTGACCTGCATATAAAGTTTTAAGAGCGACAAGCCGCAGCAAGTTCTATTGATGGTGAGCTGAATCTGTGCTTGCCAGAGGCTTTCTATCTGGGCCCTAAACAAAGAAGGGACCTTTATTATTAAAAAATTCCCTGTATCATTCCTGAAAAGGCAGCCAGAATCAGAGGTAACTGGTCCTTTATTTCAGAGGGAAGATCTGCTGAACAGCTGATACTGAGCAGGAGGGGATCGTTCAAACATCTGTCTTTGTAGCAGAATTGGAAGCTTCTGAGATGATTCCCCACAACTGCAGTTATAAAGAAAAATGTACAGGCTGATTTCAGGGCAAGCATGACCTTAAAAAAAAAAAAAAGTTTGAAAAGAATACGTGCAAGATTTTTCACTAAAAAAACAGGGCCTAAACTGTCAGACATTTCTTTGTCGTTTCACCTCATCTGTTGAGTATGTAAGTATTAAAAGTGCTACTCTCTTTTTTATATTTTTTCTTCAGTAAAAGGGTATAAAAATTGATGCATCGCCAGTTTTTTCATTAAAGGGAGGAAGTGAGCAATGAATATCGATGAAGGATACATTCACTGCAGTTTGCTGTCATTTTACACAATTCCAGGAGTGTACGTAAAATGGAAAGTAAGGGCCAATAAAAGCAATTTTCCAAGTCCTATTAGCTGCCAAGTGGAATCACAATATATAGTTAGCTGGGAATCTTCAAGTTTTCACATGTAATTCTACTGGACTTAGATTTTAATTTGCTGTCAGAACAAAACCT